CGCGCCCCCCCCCCCCCCCCCCCCCCAAGAGAACCACCAGCTGTTCTGAAGAGCTGGCGGTTCCCTCTGGGCGCCCGCACCCCTGGTGGTGGAAGGAGGCTTTGTGCGCTCCCCCCACCCAAAGGCCCTGATTGGGTTGACTCTAAGTGCCGTGTGCTCCTGTCGGGAGAGGGAACTTCGCACACTCCCCCGTGCCCAGGCCCTAATTGTCCTGGGGGCAGGGAAGCATCAGAGTGTCTGTGGGCTGGATCAACCCGCTTGGTGGGCCAGATCTGGCCTGCAGAGGCCCTTTTGCCACCCCAGCCTAGGTAGAAATGCATCAGGATAACACTTTATTTTCAAGGAGGCTGTTTCTCTTTGGGATTTTACTATGATTATGATGATTTTAATGTACCTATAGAGGAGATTATGTATGCTTGAAAGAGAGTCAAGTGTGCCCCTATTTTGTCTTGTGCAGCAGCAGTTAGTACCAGTGTTCCCTGTAAGCTATGCACTTGAGCAGCCACCCAGGCGAGATTCAAATGCCGCCCAGCTGATTAGCAGAGTGCCCACAGCTGGCAGCATGTGATTGTACTTGTGGTGCACATCCTCACATGCCTCAATGCACATAACAAAATTTATTCCGCACATGGATGGAAAAATTAGAGGGAACATTGGTTAGTACTGCTTCCAGAGCTGTCGTCCATTCACCTTCAGTTACTCTGGATGTGCAGACCAAAGTAGAGCCACATTGACTTTTTTGTATTAGTAGCACAGCAAAATAAATATTCTGCAGCAGGCTGCAGTAGTCAGTGGTCACTCATCTTCTCTGAGTCAATCCCTCTGATGGGATTAAGTTTAAGAACAAAAGGTGTTTTGCTTAGCTGCTTTGGACCTGACAGGTTTTGACATACCGTATTTTCCGGCGTATAGGGCGACTGGGCGTATAAGACGATCCCCTATCTTTTTAATTAAAAGATAGGGTTTCATCTTATACCCCAGCGCCCCTCCGCCTCCTTTGCTCCCGGTGTCCCTGGTCTGCTGGAGATGGTCCCTCAAAGCCGCGGAGGGGCTCCGGCGGGGGGGCCCCCGGGCCCCCCCCCCCGGGGGAGCCCCTCCGCGGCTTTGAAAGCCTCGGGGGAAGCTGGCGGCCGGGCATCCCAGGCGCGCCTGGGATGTATACCCGGCATACAAGACGACCCCCGATTTTTGGGGGATGTTTTTTAACATCAGAGGTCGTCTTGTACGCCAGAATATACAGTAGATCTAGTTTTTGCGGCAATGTTAGCTAGACCTATAATTGAAGTGTTGCCCCCTAATCCAATTTGCATCCGCATTCAAAAAATCTTTAGCTCAAGTTAGCTGGGATTTTAAACTTGAAGTAGCTTTCATGTCACAGGGATGGCTGGCGGATGATTGAAGATCAAACTTAGTAATGTAGTGGGAACTCGGCTTTGGGCTTTTGAAGAGAAAGGGAGTTACTAAAATATGAAAAATTGAGTCAGTGCCCTCATATTATTGTGAAACTGGAAAGTTAAACCAACTATAATCAGCTAGGAGTATTGTTTTGTTGCATTTCAAAAGATAGATCCCAAGATGCATCTTTCTAATAATTGAATATTGTCCTGTTAACTTCTTGGCATCTCAGTAAACATTTTTGTAAAGTCATAATGTACACTAATTAATGAACTAATTAATTTAAATTCATAATAGGTATATCCCAGAGAGACTACACACAATACTATGAGCATATATCTAAACAAAATGAAGAGATCTGTAGATGTATACAGGAGTTCTTCAAGAAACACATACAATATAAGTTCTTGGATGAAGACTGTAAGTATCTCTTTAAGGGCTGTATTAGAAAGCAAGATTGTGGGAAATGAGAAATGTTTTATGGAAGTTCCAAATTGTTCATTAGTCACACTATTAAAATTAACTTTAAAATAGAATCTGCATGCTTGATACTTCAAATGTTTTTTCAAGGCACATCATTTACTTCATTGTGGGCTCAAAAGGGCTTGCAGGGCCAAGAAAGTAAATGAGGCTTGTCAAATTCTCCCGTGTAGCTGCTTCCCAGCCCAGATTTATTTCCTACAGTAATTTGGAAATACCAGTGAAAAATAATATTTACTAATAGGATATTGGCAGTGTCAAATATTAACTCTACAGTTATGTAATGTTTTTGTTTTCTGATCATATGCTAATTCTAGCTGCTACTTGCACAGTGTTTGGCTCTTTGAGAGAGTTTTGTATTCACTGAAAATGCCAGTCCCTCCATTCAGAAGAAGGTTTGGTTTGGGTGGTTTGGTTTAAAGGAGGTAAGGAAAAATTACACATTATTATACACTCAACAAAATAGAGGACAAATAGGTATGAAGATATTTGGTTATCTTCTATTCAATAGTTGATAGTTTATTCACCTGCAAAAAAGCAGCACTCGTCAGTTTTTTAATAACATCTGATTAATATCCCAGGTTGGTTAAATACATGTTATCCGATCTTGCTCAGTTTAATAAAATCACTGCATACATGTCATAGATGATGCTCACTCTGAAATAGCATAGCACTGTTAAACAGAGAGATGTGATGACCATATTTCCATGTAAAGTGTCTTTAAACAAAAGTTCTCTGTAGTAATTGTTTTATTTCTGATATTTACATGGCACAGATTTGTAAACTGGTTAATTACTTCCTAAATAAGTAAATATTACAGAGAAGAATAAAGCCAGTTGTGTAGCATGAATTACATGCTTAGTAGTCACTAACAATGACTAAAGGAATAAGCTCGAATCTTTGTCAAAATACTGATTAAATAGTCCCTTAAACAAAAAAAAGCATCAGTCCCTTTTTTTGAACTGTTTTATTGATTTTTTTTTTTAAATTAATAAAGCATTCAGAGCTGACATTTGGCGTAGGGAAAACACATATGAAAGAACATTTAATAAGAAAATATGTAGATCAGTTATTTATGAAGATTAAAAAGTTACCGAATGTTTGCCACTAGAACATCTATGATACCTTTTGAAAAAAGGAATTGTAAGTCTGTTTTCAGGAAGTTATATAAATCTTGTTTTTAAATAATTTTTAAATATTGACATTCAATTTTTCAGCTGTTTAGATCAGTGGTCCCCAATGATTTGGAGCTATCAGGCGCCAGGGGGCGAGGCCGTTCGGGCGCCAAGGAGCGGGGACACTCTCACGCCCAGGGGCGGGGCTGCGCATACGCCACACCCCCATGAGCCATGTGCTTGGGGCCAGCGACCCCATGCGCCGCGTGGCCACTGGCAGGGCCACCCATTGGCCGTGCACCCGGGGCCAGCACCCCTCCCCAGAGCCGCGTGCCCGGGGCCAGCACCCTCCCCAGAGCCGCGCACCCAGGGGCGGGGAAGCCTGGCACCCTCCATAGCTGCGCATCCGGGGGCGGGGAGGCCAATTCGCCGCGCGCCCGGGGCCGGCGCTCCCCATGCGCCTGGGGCCGGCACTGCACATGCGCCACATGCCCGGGGCGGGCCAGCCCTGAGCACTTGGCGGGTGCACACAAATGCCCCCACGGGCGCCATGGCACCCATGGGCACCACGTTGGGACCACTGGTTTAGATCTTCTCATAGTGAATGTAATTTAACACAGTCCTATTTCAGAAGAATAATCTTGCACTTCATTGTGGTTTAAAAAGAAAAATTGCAAAAAAAATTCTTACACTGGGGCATAAGGTTCCAATCCAACAAACCATTTAAACATGCTCATGACTTAAAACATATTATTTGTCCTATTGAAGTCAGTTGGCTGCTCACATTAAAGTCAGCAGGACTACCTACTAATTGGGACTACTTTACAAGTATGAAGTAATAGAATCTTAGAAATGTGGAGTGGGACAGTAGATCGAGCCCACCCCCCTGTGCAGAGGAATGATCAAGTCAGTCTGTCCCTGTTCTTAAAAACCTCCAGTGTTGGGGAATCCACAATCTTGCTTGGAAACTTATTACAGAGCTTAACTAAAAGGGTATTAAGTAGTTTTTCCTAATATCTAACCTAAATCTCCCCCAATACCATTGAAGATGATTACATTTTGTCGTACCTTAAGTGGATGTGGAGAACAATTGATCACCATATTATTTATGACCAAACCAATTTATTTTAAGATTATCAGTCCCAGCTTCTCCTCCCACCCAACTTTTTTTTCCCACAACTAAACAAGCCCCGTTTTTTAACCTTTCCTGATAGCTCAGATTTCCAAGTGTTTTATCAT